TGAGCTTTCTCAGTCTTTATATCATTGAGATGTTCACAAGTTCAGAGAACTTTGAAGAAAAGAACTAAATGTAATGTCAATACTCTCTACACTAGTTTTTTGCTCTAACACTGCTTATCTCACACTGCTTACCCACACTGCTTATCACACTATTTACTAAAGCACTTAACTAGTTAGTTATCTTTACACTGCTTATCAAAGCACTTTAAAATCAGCATTTTCTAGAATTAGCATCATTTCAAGATTCAGTACTCAGAATCAGCACAGATTAACACTTTTTAAAAATCAGTTCTTTGAAATCAGCACTTTCTGAAGAATAGAATCAGCACTTTATGAAGAATCAGATCACTATATTATTAATTCTTTATAAAAGATTAGAGATAAAATCTACTACTACTTATTCATATATATAAATACTCTGAATTTTTAAAATTTCTTCAAAAGATTCAGTGATTAGCTACTATTCAATTCTACATATATATTTTATTCATCATTATTCTCTTTTCTTTGTAGTGCTCACTGCATCTATACATCTACTCTATTATGATTTTAGTTATAAAGTTTCTTATACTTTTTTTTAATACTCAGTTCATTTATTTTAAATGTATTTATAATTTCTAATCAATCTAAAAGAAATTGCCTATTAAGTCTATAATAATGAGTCTGAAATATAATCTACAAACTGATACCTTATATATAATATCTAATAAAGAAATATATATAGAAAAAACTTTTTATAAATAATTATCAAATCTGACTTTGAAAAGTAATATTAAAGCATTTTATATATTAATTAATGAAGAGATTTAAATAATTCAACAAAAATAAGAATATCAAAAGATATATAAAAAATTTTTTAAATTACAACAATAAATCAACACTTTTAATGTAAAACTTCAAATCTTTAGAAGTAAATCATACAAAGTAAAGTCAATAAATTATACTATTAATATCAATCTCATTTATTTCAAGCCTTATCTCACATCAATTTAAAAACTTTTAAATGAGTTTAAGATAAAAAGTCTCAAGAAACTAGAAGACTTTATCTTCTCAAGTCTTATCTTCTATATCTATCAAATATATTACTTTAGAAATAATAATAAATATAAGATTCTTGAAGTAGTAATATATTTTAATATCAAACTATAATAAAAATAATAATAATACTACATCAAACCGAAGATATCAATTATATAAGATGAATTCTATAACTAAATTCATATTAATATTATTGACTCAAATAAGACAAGTCAAAACTATAAGTTGAAATATCAGATATTAAGATAATTTGAAGATCAAACTATTCATAACTTTATATTTATTCTTTAATTAATTAAAAGTCATCTTCTTAAGAAATATAGTGATTATCTATGAAAGATATATCTATTTGACAAAATTATATTTTCTTTTTATGCAGAATTTGAGAAATATATAGTTAAGCTATATGATCTCTTTTATAATACTTTCATCATAAAACTGAGCATTGTGAAGAGTAATATTTTAAAAATTATTATACTAACAAGTATAACTATATAATAAAAAAGTATTACTTACAAAAAAGATTTATATAATGATATATTAACAGTATTCAAAAAGAAAAGTTAAAAATATAAAAAATATTCTGATATCTTATATAATATTTATTAAAGCTTTATATATTTCAATGCAGATTATAAAATTTAAAAGAATAAGTTCTCTGAAGACAAATTTTCTTTCAAATTAAATTCTAAAGAGGTAAAAATAAATAAGAAGTGTCATTCATGCTGTAATGACAAGTTTTAATATATTTAAAAATTAGTAATTATTTAGTCTATTCTATTTTTTTTCTATCTAAATTTTAATATCTGCAGAAGATATACTGATTTCTACTTTTATAGATTCTAAAGTTAAAATAAATTTTATTAATAAATTCTGAATCAAATTATACAAATTATAATCAACAGAGTACACATCATATAAAATAAAGAGATTTAATAATTATCAAATACACTTATTTAAAATTATTAATCTAGAAATATAAGTTTTGAATAATAAAAAAACTATAGTCAGAGAATTTTACTTTTTTTATATTATTAAACTTTTAGATTATGATATAATATTAGAATTTTTCTACCTCAAACAACTCAATTCTCTTATTAATTGAAAGAATAAAGAATTCTATTTTTGTCAAAAATTAAATAATCAAGAAATAGCTTTGAGTATAATAGATATTGCTAATGAATTACTCATTGATACTTCTGACTATAGACTATATACTTATAATAGTATCTATTTTAATCTTATAGATCTCTAAGTCTTCTGCTGAAATCTTTAAAATTTCTGCATTTATTTTCAAACTTTATGTCAGAAATTCTTAGATTTTTATATAGATCTTTAAATTTATTATTGAAATCTTTAGAGATTTTCTATTAATTTTCAAACTTCATGTCAAAAATTTTTATATCTTTATATAGATCTTTAAGTCTTTTACTAAAGTCTTCAGAGATTCTGCATTTATCTTTAGATTTTATATTAAAAATCCTTTGATTTCAGTATAAATTTTCAGATTTCTCATTAAAATCTTTGGAGATTTTACATTAATTTTTAGATTTTATGTTAAAAATTCTCAGATTTCTATATAGATCTCTGAATCTTTTACTAAAATTTTTAGAGATTTTGCATTTATCTTCAAACTTTATATCAAAAATTCTCAGATTCTTATATAAATTTTTAAATTCCTTATCAGAATCTCTGAAAACTTTGCATTTATCTTCAGACTTTATGCTAAGAGTTTTTAGATCTCTGTACATATCTTTAAGTTTTTTTCTGAAATTTTAACACTTTTAGAAGACAGCTTACTTGTAAATATAACTTTTATCAATAATCTACCTGACTATGTATGATTGTATGTGCATTTTTTCTCTGAAGAGAGTGTGTTCAGTGCATGTATATCTAATATAAAATATTTAATTAATCTTAAAGAAAAAATCAGACTTTCATTCATGTTTATCTATAATTTCTCTAAAATAGAGCTGATAACTTTTCAGAACTATTTGAATAGTATATTTAAAAAAGACTGAATATCTTCTTCTCAGAGCTCTGTAGATACTCTCATTCTCTTTGTTCAAAAAAGAATGAAGATAT